GGTGGTATTACTATAGCTGACAGTTTAAATTGAAGAGTTTGATTCTCCTGTGGTTCCTTTCTAACAAAGCTAAGAATAGCTACCAAAAAAGATCTTGCTTTTGAAGTAGTCTATTTTCTGAGATAATCAAACTACCCGAGATTTAGTGATAAGATCCTTTTATGCATAATCATTCCCCTACAGCTAGAGGATTTTTACTATGCCAATGCAAAACTCAAGGTTCCTAACAACTTTCCAGAAGGATACAAATAAAAACACCTTTTTCCATTAATTGTCTAATTAATTCCTTGTCTTTCCATTACATCTCATGTGTCCCCACATGTAGTCTCATGACCCCTTCAGGGTCACCCCCATATTGACGCTAACTCTCCCACTCACACTCACCTACATCCCACTCTCCTACACATCCCCAAGCACACACCTCATACTCATCATCAGGCCAACCAGACAAAGTCTTAGGAAATGTAATACATATACATATACATACATACACACAACACATATATATATTCACCTGAGATATCAAAGTGGAAGAAATACCTGGAAAATGATAACATACACAACACTTACAGGATGCTGCTGTACCCATTTTTCTTTGACAGTAATTTCTGGATTAGTGACCCACTGGAAGGAACCATTAGGGAAGTTTTCCAACTTCTGAAATTTCTTCAAACTGGCAGAAAAGAGGGGGCAGGGGAAGTCTGCATCTTCAACTAGGAATTCAGGTGAAAAGCATGTGGTGTTACACAATAAGAATGCATTAAAAAAAAAAAAAGAATGCATTTAGACTGAAATTCCCCTACACAGGTAATTTAGGAAGATGTTAGACAGAACTCCATCTTATCTAAAGTCTTCCTTTCAATTTTCTTTATTCAAGGCTGTGCTCATATCATGCTAACTCTTGCCAGGAACTCAGTTTACACTCAGGATACAAAGTCAAAATGATTTTCCAGAATCATTTTTCCTCTTCCTTTAAAAAAGAAACAACAATTTCATTGATTTCTACCTTTTTCAAGTTCTATGCCACTTACCTTAGGCTTACACTGTTGAAAGGAACTGAAACTACAAACATGAAGGCATTATTGTCTGATTTCTCTAGCCATCTAGATTTTCCATCTGAATTATCAAAATGGAAAAAGAAATCCTAGCTATTAGGAAAAAGGAAACTCAAAGAAGAAAACTGTGCAATTCATATCATGTCTTCAACTAAAGATTAAACTGCAGGAAGATAAGCCCAAGCTATCATATCTAAAGATCAATCTCTTCATCCTGATTGGCCCAGAACTAGAAGATCAAATGTATCAGATTCTGAGGAAGTGTTTTCATAGTAGGTCTCAACAGAACACAGAGACATTTGGACCCAGCTAACAGGCTATCATCAGTGATCTAGAGATATCCTGAGCTGGTGAAACATCACAATACCACATATGCATGCTCAAAATACCAGCTTCTAAAGGGCATCTGTGGCTTCCATGCCCTTCTGCTCCTGTTGCCATTCCTTTGCATCCAGGAATGCCAAGCTGATTGAAGTGCACTTCTACTGTTCTGCAACCATGACCAAAATGCCCACAATGCTGTGACTAAGAGAAAGCACTCATTACTTTTATTTTATAAAAATGATGCTCATGAGTCAATGTAATGATTATTTGCAAATAGTTTCTAAGTAATCTTGTGGAATATTCTACAACCTTGTGGACACCTCTAAAATGGCTCCAATTGAACAATTATATTTCCCTTAAAAGACGACTTGTTTATGAAAAGATACTGTCACCTGAGGAGATACAAAGTAACAGCTCTACTTTGCATACAAAAATAGGGGAAAGTGAAGAAATTCACAGGGGGTGGGGATTAGAGACAGCATTATGGTTTGTGTCTAGCTGTCCTCCCACAGCCTCATGCAGTCATGGGGAAGCTTCTGGAGTTTGTAATTGATTCTTTTTTTTTTTTTTTTTTTTTTTTTTGTGGTACCAGGGATTGAACTCAGGACCCTGCACTTGCCAAGCAAGTGCTTATTCTACTGAGCTATCGCTCCAGCCCTGTGATTGATTCTTGATCTAGTGCTGGGATTGTGGATGTGGGTGCTTAACCAAGCCTAAAGTAGATAATCTGCATTATAATGCAAGAAGGGGAAAGAGGGTTTGCTAGCTCACAGTTGCCACCACTCCTCCCTTTTATTCTTTGTTGTTTTCTGCCGCCATGAACTGCTGCCTTCTGCCACGTGCCTCTCTGCCTTGGAGCCAGCCGAGCATGGACTGAAACCTCTGCTAATTGTGAGCTAAACAGACCTTTCCTTCCTTAATTTTGAGTGTCCCGTATTTTATCCCAGCAATAAGAGAAGAGTAACTGAGACAGAAAGAGAAAGCTACATTCTGAGGATGGAAGAGGAGCTCCAGCAATCGAGACACAGGAGACAAAAAGCTAAAAAGCATGGAGAAGCAAAGCAGTAAATTCAGAGAAGAGTGAGACACCATCCACAGCACCGACTTCAGCTCCCAGTGGGCTGGGGAAGCTGAATACACAAGCACTGGAGTCAGCTAGGAATCGAACCTTCAAAGGGAGTCTGTTCACCAAGTTGGCCCTCACATACAGTTGTTAGACGCATCTATCTCAACGCATGTGCAAATCTCAACACAGAAACAATATGATAAAATGGGGCAACATGATTCCTGCCAGGGTTTGGAACTCTTTGGTCGCTGACTGCAACGATACTGAAATGGATGCACTGTTTGCTGAAGAATGGAAAACACTGACTTTTTAAATGAGTAATGGCTTCAAAGAGGACACAAACAGCTGAATGAACTCAGAAAGAGAAGAAAGGATATGAAAGAGCAACTCAATAAAGAGATTCTGAGTAAGAAATCTTGACAATGAAAATCTCAGTAGGTCCAATCAAAAGCTGAGAGGAAAGCATCAGCAATAGACTAGGCCATGCGGAATACAGAATTTCAAAGCCTAAAAACAACAAATGGTCACATTCAGACACTAAGAAAAATAAATTATGAGGAAAATACACAGGACATCTGGGACACGATTAAAAACACCAAATTTATGAATTGTTGGTAAGCAAGAGGATGCCAAGTAGAGACTAAAGGCCCTGAAATTCTATTCAGTGAAATAGTAGCAAAAAAATTTCTGAGTGTTAGGAAAGATATGGACCATCCACACACTGCAGGCTAAAGAATCAGAAACAGAAAAGAGCTTCCTTGTGTCATATTAATGTGCCAAGTGTACAGAACAAAGAAAGAATATTGAAAACTGCAAAAGAAAAATGTTGAAAAATCTATAAAGGCAAACTTATTAGAATAAATGCAGATTCTCCAGCAGGAACTGCATAGGCTACAAAAGCATAGAATGATATTTAAAGCCCTGAAAGAAAATTGCAGTCAATCTAGATCATTATTACACCCAGAAAATGTGGAGAAATAACCCACCTTCCATGAAAATCGTTACTAAAGAAATTCAAGGTCAGCAGTGAAAAAGATAGTTAAAGGACTCACACACACACACACACACACACCAGGAAGGAGAAGAATAGACAGACAAGAATTAGGGGGGAAAAACAAAAAAATAATAAAATTACATGAAACAGTATTTGCTTTCTATGGCACTCGATAGTCTTAATTCACCAATTAAAAGATATAGACAGGAACATTGGATTTGAAAAGAAGACCCAACTTGTCTGCTACCTGCAAGAAACACACTCCACCAACAAAGACATGCACATTCTCAAAGGGAAAGGATGAAAAATGGTATTCCAAGTAAATGGAGGCAAAAAGCAGACAGGAATAGCTACCCTCACATCTGACAAGACAGACGGTAAGGCAAAATCAATCAGAAAAGATAAGAATACATCAGTAAACGGAACAACCTACCAAGAAGATAGAATGATTGTAAATACTTAGGCACTGATTGTCAGTGCACTCAATTTCATAAAACAAACACTGCCAGACGTAAAAGAAATGAAGTGAGTGTGTCCACACTCACCACTGTCATTCAGTATAGTACTCAAAATTTTAACAAAGCTATCTGGCAAAATGAAGAACCAAAAGGGATCCAAATAGGGCTGGAGGAAGCAAAATTATACATTCTTCCAGATAAACTGATTCTATATTTGTAAGACTTATCAATAAAACTGTGAAAAATATATATATATTTGTAAGACTCTGGCAATCTCTTAGGATAAAAACAGCAAATTGCCAAGATTTAAAATCAACACACAAAAAGTGGTAGTTTTTCTATATACCAATAATGAACCCCCTGAGAAGAAATTAGGAAACCAAATCTGTTTTCCAAAGATTCAAAAATAAAGCAATATCTAGAAAATAAACCTAAACAAAGAGGTGAAAGACCTCCGTGGCAAAAATTGTAGAACATTGAAGAAATAAACTGAAGAAGACACTAGAAGATGAAAAGACTTCCCGTGTTCATTAATGGGCAGAATCAATGTTATAAAAATAGCCATATCACCAAAAGAGATCTAGTGATTTAACATAATCCCCATCAAAATACCAAGGACATTTTTATAAGACTAGAGAAAAAAATCCTAAAATTCATGTAGAAGCACAAAAGACTCAGAATAACCAAAGCAATCCTGAGTAAAAAGAGCAACCTTAGAGGTATCATAATATCTAATTTCAAAGTATACTATAGAACCAGAGTAACACAAACAGTGTGGCATTGGCATAAAGAGACCTGTAGGCCAATGGAATAGAGATCCCGGAAATAAATCCACAGAGCTACTGCTAATACTGATTCTCAACAAAGATGCCAAAAATAAATGTCAGAAAAGTGACAACTTCATTAACAAGTTATGCTGGGAAAACTTGATGTCTGTATGTAGAAGATTGAAACTAGATCCTTCTCTCTCACTCTACACAAAATAATCAACCAATGATAGACAAAGACCTAGGTAAAAGACCTGGAACTCTGAAGTTTCTGGAAGAAAACACAGGGGAAATACTACATAGACACAAGCAACAGCTTCCTGAAATTAGACTCCAATAGCTCAGGAAATAGCAAGAATCAATGAATGGGATCCCATCAAATTATAAAGATTCTTCCGGGCAAAGGGAAATAATCAACTAAATTAAGTAACAACCTATAGAATGAGAAAATATTCTCCCACTGCACTTCTGAAAGAGAATGATAGCTGGAATATACAAAGATAAAAAAAAGTAACACCAAAAGAGTAAGTAATCTGATCAATATATGGGCAAATGAACTGAATAGAAATTTCTTCAAAGAAATACAAATGGTTGACAAATAAGTACTCAGACAAAGGTCTGCTCTCTAGAATTTACAAAGAACTAAAAAACACTAGGGCCCCAAAATTTAAAGACCCAGTGCAGAAATGGGCATCCAAGATGAACACACACTTCTCAGAGGATGAAATTAAATAAGTATATGAAAAAATGCTCCACATCACTAGCCATCTGTGAAATGCAAATTAAAACAACATTGAGATACATCTCACTCCAGAAACAATGGCTATCATAAAGAAATCAACCAACAACAAGTGTTGGAGAGTCTGTGGGGAAAAAGGAACCCTTCTCCACTGCTGGTGGGAATGTGGACTGGTGCAACCGTTATGGAAATCAGTGTGGAGACTCTTTAGAAAAGTTGGACTGGAAATCCCATTTAAACCAGCTATTTCCCTACTGGGAATTTTCTCAGAGGATCTGAAAACATCCTATCATAGTGATATATGTGTACCTATGGTTATAGCAGCACAATTTGTGATAGCCAAATCATGGAAACAACCAAAATGTCCATCACCTGAGGAATGGATGAAAAGAATGTGGTATTTTTATACAATGCAGTATTACTCAGCTATAAAGAATGATAAACTTGAAGCCTTTATATTGAAGTGGATGCCACTTGAAGATATATTCATAAGTGAAATAAACCAGACACACATGTGTAAATATTGTATAGTTTCCCTAGTATAAGAACTCAAAAGAAGAAATACAAATAGAAAGGTATAAGAAATACAAATGGGCTTATAAGAATAATGTTTGCCATCTTTAACAATCAGGGTATACAAAGAATAACTATTCTTAAGAATTGAAAAAGTGAGGATGAAAGGAAAAAAACCTTCATTTACTAGTGATAAATAT